TTGACCAGGAGAAGAAAATGAATGGTCTTTGAATCTTCGTTCGTGAACATGGACGCGAGGTCAAATGCTTTCATCGCGTCCTGGACCTGTTCTTGTCCGCAGAGGGCGATACCTTTGGCGATATAGCCTGTCAATGAGGGCTGGATGCTGAGGGACTATGTGACCATGTAAATTAAGAGGTCAGAATGAGTCAATGTATCTCACCTTGTGTGCGTCCTGAAGCGCGTGGTCCCAGTCGGATTTTCGCCCCATAAGAATTGCGCGATTGGCATAAAAGCTGTAATTGTCTGGGTCGGCTTCAATCTCTTGTGCTAGCAGCTCCTCAGCAGGGAGAAAGTCCCCAGATATGCATGCATTGCGGACTGTCGTATTTATAGCTAGGATCTGCCCGAAGCATGCTCATTCCATTAGAAGGTATAAAATTATAAGAGTCAAGGGTGTAGACATGCCTTTGAATCAGAGTCTTGAGCCTTAGCATTAAAAAAAATGAGATAAGCTGATGAAGACACGGTGAATCAAGGGGAACCTACAGCACCCCCGCGCAAGGCGTCCTTTGGTACTGCCCACTCTGAAACCTTCTTGTCGTAACCGCCGCCAAGGATGTGCTTGCCATCTATGGAGAATGTGGCAGAGAACACTTCGTCTGAGTGCTTGAGCTTGAATGAGGCGATTGTACGTCGATCCGAAAGACTCCAGAGGCGGACACTTTTGTCACGAGACACGGAGGCGACGAGGGTTCCAGAAGAATTCACGACAATGTCTCTGATATCGCTGGCATGGCCGTTCCATGGTTCGCCGACCTGTTTCCAGGTGGACGAATCCCACTCCCTTATAGTGGGATCATCATAAGAGCCCGCTGAGAGCAGTCGCGTGCCGTCAGGGATCCAGGCGAGGGATAAATTGGGACTGATCGCCGGAACTGCATTAAGGTTTGCGATGCATTCCCTTGTACCTGGTTTCCATATTTGGATACCTTTTCCCGCGGCTATGGCAAGAAGTTCGCCCGATGGTGAAAAACGGACGCAGTGGACTGGAGCCCCGCAATCGATTAGGTCTCCTTCTAGCTGCCTCGTTTCTGAGCTCCACAGCTTCGTCGTCCAGTCAGATGAGCTCGTCGCCACTACTTTTCCATCAGGAGAAAAGTTCACCGACGAAATCCATGTAGTGTGGGCTTTGATGGCTTGCGTGAGCCGTTCGCCACTGTCCCCCTGCCAGAAGATGAGCTCTCCATTCTCATCACCGCTTGCTATCAATTTCCCGTCTCGTGATATCGCCACTCCCCACACCCAGTCTCGATGCCCCTCCATTGTCTTCGTTACAACGCCGTCCTTCAAGTTCCATAGACGAAGCGTCCTTCCTGACGTCACCATACGCTGTCCATCAAGGAAGACCGCAACTGCGAGTACGGATTCTTCACCACCTTCAAATGCTCGAACGGGTGTGCTGGGTGGAAGGATGTGCTGCGCTGCGTCTTCTGCCATTTCGTGCAGCTTGATGGTTGTTGAGCACGAGGTGCTTTATTGAACACGGCCGCGGTTCAACGCTGTGAGGCAGGATGGAAGCGGTGGCGAGTGCAATGTACCCCTACAGCTCGCAGGAAGTCTCACAGTTCACACAGCTTACTAGACGCCCAGGGCCTGAAGGCCGAGGCTATTCTCAGAATGATCTACGTTATTATATATGTCTTGCTCGACCATTCAACCCCATGCCTCTATTCATGATTCCAATTTTGTGATACTTCTTACTATATTAACCTCCCGGCCACCATCGAGTCTAGATGGCAGTAGTGCTGTCGAATCATCATTAGTGCCTCTATCTCATCTGCCAAAGGTATTGTTTTCACCAAACTCGGATGCTTTTAAGTCAAGGCACAGCCCCCTCGTTCATTCCGTCGATTTCTACAGGTCGTTCGTCCCCCTAATCCGCGACGAACGGAGACTGATGGGGCGGGCGGGAGGTCAGGGGGAGTGTGGAAAACCGACTCCGCAGACAAAAAAATATTACGTGTCCCTGGGACTGCTAAAGCTTATCCCAGATTCAGGAGAGGTGAGTATAGATTTTGGTTTTGCTGCCTTGACGTGGCATTGAGGCACAGCTAGGTGACCTCGCCCTTGTTGCGCCACCAAATACGTCGCCACCGGCGTGTACCAGTACACCCCTCCACTCACAGCGCCTGGCCAGCCCCCGCCTATGCATCCGCAGTCCTCCTCGGGCACTGCACCCTTTTTGTCAAAGGCTGTCAGAGTACTTATTAGACGAGATATCACACAGTCCGTAAGTCATCGTGCGAGGTGGCTGTCATAAAATCTCCCCGCGCGAGAAGCGAGAAGGAATGCCGTTTCCTAACAGAATCACGTGCTTATTTTACTAGGGTCGAGCACCACTACATGTCTGCTATCACTGATCCTTAATATTTAAAGAGATGAAACCCACACGTCCGTGACAGCAACTACTAGAACGGGAATGCTTGGATTTTGTAAGCCTAAAGTGCGGAGATTTGAGCGTCACAACATGTGTTGACAGCCTTCGAATCTCGATAAGCCTAAAATGATGCATAGGGCGATGAGTAACTGAATGGCGCGGGCCCAGCATTCTGAAACGTGCTGTGACGGTTGAACACAGGACAACAATATATAATACAGGCGTTGCGAACTGGCTGCGATTGGTCCTGCAAGATGTCGCACAAACTTGGAAACCTGACTTACTTGGCTTGTTACTAGCTTGATAGCATATCTCGTATAACTAGAGCGCTAGCCCCTGCGGTGTGGGTGAATGCAAAGGCAGTTGTTCGTGATGGCCACCTTGCTCTGAATGTGGACTTGTGTGGTCAAGTCAATCTAATTTCAGGCTATTGTTCTGTGATAATACACAATTTAACATTCAGTGTGTGTATTTACATGTGGAGGTCAAGTCACAAACACTTTCTGGTCTCATTGCTTATTATTTTGCACGATCTCGACCAGATACTAACGACTGGGTACCATGTCTCCCCGACGAAGTGCCCGTGCATTAAAGCCAACATCGTCCGGAATGAATGAAGCGCCCCTAGGCATCCGTCATGGTACGCGCACAACCAAGAACCTAAACCCGGCTTCATGCCCAGGGAAACTCGATACCGACGAAGCAACACTCCGCAATCTATCCCGTGCAGAGCTACAAAAGCTTGCTAAAGTGCGTCTCGCGCTTCTTGTTATGGATGCCTCAGACATTGATTTGAAACAGGAAAACAAGGTGAAGGCCAACATGAAGAGCGAGTCGATCATCGCAGAGCTTGTGAAGCTCTGCGAGGTAGTTCCGGTACAGTAGGTCCCCCGCGTCATGCTCAACAAAGTAAACTGTACTGACAATCACTCAGTCAAGATGATGAAAGCGACAAGCCTCTCAGGAAGAAGTCGATAACTAGCCTGCACGACCAGCCCGAGGTCGCCACTTCTTGGTCACCGCAAAGAGCAACGGAGGAAACTCCTGCAGCTGGTTGCTCAATACAAATCATGGATGCAACAGTGGATGCAGGTTGTGAGTGTCATGCACTACGTCACAGTGCAAGAAACCTAACACTAGCCAGTGGATCATTCCCTGACTCAGGACGGTTGTCAAAAATCTGCACTGGCAACAGAAAATACTGCTCCGACCATAGCATGCGGAAATGCCGCTGACATCACTACTGAAAATTCAGAAGGAACGTTGCAAGGACCTTCAGCAGTGCTAGAAAGTCAAACTGGCCACCCACCTCCAGAAGATGACACCAGTGACTCGGGATCAGACTTGTCATATGCAAGTAAGCACGACCGCTATGAGTCCCCCGTCAGTTCGCGTGCAGGAACACCGCCGCTCGAAGAACCGATGATGCTCGAGCGGGTGGTGAATATCATGAACCAGATCGCAGCCGACGATCAACGCATTCTCTCCCAGATTGCTGCTCTCCGTGAAAGAGCAGCAATGCTGCAAGAACAAGCAAAGAAAGCAAGGGATGTTGTGCGTGGGGAGCAGGGACGACGTGTGAGACTGGAGGCATACTTCACGTACTGGAGGGAGATGGAGCCCGAATGGCCGAAAGGATGGTTATACGAAGAAGGCGAGGAAGGACAGCACCGGACAGAGCAGAATCCGGCCATGATACCGTCGTATGTGCTCCGTCTGTCCGTGACTTCATCGTCTTCCTAACCATTTAATAGTTCATAGCGTACCATCAGCAGGCATGTCAGGCCGCTCACTTTGCCGTTCGATGAGAAGGATGCGCCATGAGCTCCCGTTCACACTCACTTGTGCTGCTCCTAGTAGAGATGTTGTTTTTGTCCTTTTTGGTCTATATATATGCATGATCACTCACCAATTGGCAAATACTGGTCTACTAGAATAGCATATGCCCCCGTTGCCTCTGGACGGGGCCGGCCAGTCTGATCATGCTATGTAAGATGCTCAGCTGGTGTCAGAACAAAGGAAGGGAAACCTTGATCCCTCAAACCCCCTAGTACTAGGAGCTTCTCCGTTCCGCTTCAATGGCGTGAACCGTAGGGCATCATTCTTGCAGTTATAATCTCAGTTCATTTGTATATTCCTGGAGGACTGGAGAGGACTAAACGAAGGACGACGGTTACAAAGACCTTTATGACTCACGATAGCTCACAGTCGGCGTACATCTTTTCTATCTCGACATCAGGACGAGCTGGTTACCCTCTGATGTTTTCAAGTTTTTGATTCAAAGAGGTCTTTGTCTTCGAACACGAGGATTAGATACGTGCCAGTGGCCCAGTCATGCTATCAGCATATAGCCTTATTTTAAGCACCATGCAAGCGTTCAATCAACCAATCAGACGTTCAAAAGGATTGAACATTCGACGATCGATCAACTGTCTCACTCCGCCTCCGAGGTAATGCAAAATTATTGCAATGGATGATTGTGTATTCTGAGAAATGTGTCGAAACAGGGCAGAGGGTTCCAGACCGTGCACAAATGAAGCCTAAGTGACTTTACATAAGTAACTTGCAACCAAAAAATTTGAACCCGACCCGGATTGAACGGATGACCTTATGGATGCCACTAGTGCTGGAATCATACGCGCTACCACTGCGCCACGGGTTCATGTAAGAATCCTTTCACCACATTTATATGGATAGTGACGCTGTGGGAACTAAGTTACTTAGACCCGTCAAGTTGGCTACTATTTTACTAACAAGTTCCTCGTGCTCAGTCCCACTTCTACATACATACAACCACGTTACTGAGCGCAACTTGACGGTCATCTGCGAGAGCTAGCCACAACAAATGCCATTATATCCCAGTCTACTAAGTACTACACGCTACGCGATGTCGTCAGAATCGACCAGTCACGGCAGCCTTTTCCATCTAGTGCTTTTTGTGGTGGCAAGGTATACTTCAGATCCAGGACCACGTTGCATCCAGGCAGACATTTGCTTTGGCATTAAGTTTGTGACCTAGCAATTCGTGAGCCGAGAGTCCTGCTCCTTGAAAAAAAGGAACTCACGAGGAACCTCTGGCCCACTTTGAAGTCCCCTGCATTAGATCCTTCAGCGATTGACAAGTTGAGCACATCCCAGACGGTTAACTGTGCCTGGCGAATATCCTTGCCGCTTCGTGTGCCTGGATATGCGTCCTTCACGATAATAACACGGAAATTCCGTACTGCTCGAGGAGGGCATTTGCTCTGTGGAGCACTCAGCGGATAACCCTTTCATGCAAGCGTCAAAGTTACCTGTAATTCTCGCTCGATCTCCTCTGCGACGGCCTCACGATCTCGGAGAAGCTTTTCTCTGATGAATGAGGCAAGATTGCCTGCTTCAACGCGGCTGAGCGGTGAGAGTATCACCTTGGCCTGATGAGTATCACTTTCCTCCAAGGATTCATATATGTCATCAAGATTGTCCGGCATTTCTGCAACAGCCCCTGAGTGCAGCACAACTTTGATTACGGTTGTCTCACCTGTGTTCTTGACATTGAAGTCGGGTCCTACACGTTGTTCAAGCCTCTCCGCATACCCTGTCATCAGTGACGCTCGTTTTTCAAGATCTGACCAGAGCTTTGATGCTGCGACTTCGCGCTTCCTCTGATAAAAACATGAGCATCAGACTTCGCGAAGAGCTCCTCGCCTCACGCCCCACCTTCCACCGTTCGCTCAGGCCATTCTCTTCCTTGGCACTACGAGGACCCTCCGTACGCTTGCCGTTTTCGTCTTCGATGAACTCGACATATGCAATAGGATGAAACTTTAAGCAAGAGTCAGCTATGCCTCGGCGCTACATGATCATCGTCACCTTGATGACTTCCACAGCTACAACAGCCACGTTTCCACCGTCCGGTGTCAGGCTGTTGAGTGTCGCAATGAACGGACTCCGCTGGAACCCAAGCTTTGCGTGCCAAGGAGCCATATGGGACGAGTTGCCTGTCAGTACCAGGACATTTGATTCATATGCCTCGAGGACTTCCTGTCCGTCTTTGCGCTCTGCCGAGAGCTATATGACAAGTCAACCAATGCCAAGATGCAAAGTAATCTAGTTACCTTGGCTCCGGTAACAGCGATTTTCCTCCCGACCTTGATATGACCCTTACGGATCGCTCTGGCAAGGGGTTGATCTACCCTCGCGCGCAGTCTATACCATCCGTCTGTCACCTCCAACTCGGGATATGATGGAGCGGAGAAACCATCTTCATCTTCTCCAGCTGATGGCCAAGTCACATTTGACACGCAGAGCACCATCGGGAATGCAGCAGGTGCATCCCTTGTAGTAATGAGCCGTAGTGGAGGTCGCGATGACCCATTCAAGTCTCGTTCGTATCTGGGTCGATGATCAGTCCCGGAAGAAAAGGGTATATGGATGGTGTAACCTATACAGCAGCTGGCGAATCACTTCGGGCCAGCACCATCGTTTGCTATCGGGATTAGATTCTGCTTCTGGTTCAAGTGCAACCATTCCAGCCAGCTTCCAGAGGATAAGCTGCCAGTGGTTGGTGACCCATTCCATGGTGGCCAACGAGCACCCTCTTGCATGGAGTTCCTCCAGAGCCATAGCAGGTCCGAGAGGCTTCGTATCGGAGGACTGGGAACCTTCGATTGGCGTGACAGTTGGTGTATGAAATGAGTAAAAGAGAGCGGTGCTTGGTGTTATCTGGCTTAGCTCTACGACATTTCTACAAAAATGGATTAGTAACCAGCTTTGAGGGGAAATCAACGACGGACATTCCCTGATCCACCAGCTCTTTGGTTGTGTAGGCCTGTGGTGTAAGGCCTGAAGTGGCAAGTGTCATCCTTCCTGCGGGAGGGACTGTAACAAGAGTGATAAGCAGTCAGATGGACCATCTCGATGAAGCACCTACCAAGGTTGAATACTTTGCCTGTGCCTTTGTCTCGCGCCTTATTGGCTGGCCTAGGTGATTGAGTCGCTAACGGCGGATACACGGGTCGTTGTAAGCTGGAACTTGGGGCAGCAAGCGGCCGTGTAGTTGATGCGGACAATTCTGGAGGCTGGATGCCTGGTTTGAAAGGGGTCACAAATTTGGGCTTGACCAAACCACCATGAAAATTTCGCGGTGTCAGACCTAGTGGTCGAAATCCACCTCCTGGTTTAACTGATGCTGATGGACGGATCGGCGTTGCTGGTACAGCAGGACTGCATGGAGGCATATGAGAAGGTGCAGGCGCAAAGCCCTGGCGATGAGGGTTGAGGGGAGAATTGAGATATGTAGCACTCCCCGCTCCTGCAAAAGGCTGTCGCGATGGTGCGGAGTTGATCAAAGGGGATTTGAACGCCTTTTGCTTTCCTTTGGTATCACTGACATCGAGCATTGGTGTGCGAAGTGTCGATCCAACTTCAAATGACTTGCGGGAAGCCATTGCAGGGGTTGGGGTATCTGGTACTTGAGAATTTTGTACTGCTCCAAGAACGGTGCGGCGAGGTGAGGACGGTTGTATAAAGGAAGCGGGTGCAAACCCTCCGGACTGTTGAGAGGAACCCGGATCATTAACCTCATCCTGCCACACCTTCATCTTTTCCTCGGCCTTGCGCAATGCAACGCTGGACGGGACGATAAGATTCCCTTTTCCAACTGACGTGAAACCTACGCTTGGGCTATGAATGGTGTTCGTATCGAAAATATTCTCTTTTGCAAGCCGAGATGAAGCAGGTTGAAAGCCTACGGATGAGGCAGAAGGCGCCGAGGTAAACCACGAGGAGAAATCGACTTCTGAAGGTGCCTCAGGCGAAGGCGAACGGCAGGTTCCATCTATATTCTCAACTGGCAAAGACGATGCAGATTTGAAGCCTAATGGCTGGATAACGGCAGATGCTTTGATAAAAGATGCACACACGGGTGCTCTGGATGCATCCGAACCAGCAGATGGGTTATTTGCGGAAGTAAACGGATTGTCGTCGCCTTGAACAGGTACGTCTTGTGATGAAAGCAGCTCCTGGTCGAACGAAGTGTCTGCAGCCTTGTGCTCACGAAATTCATTCGAGCCCATGTTGAGGTCAGTGAGGTGCGAGTTGGGGAGTGGTACAATATGAGCTGAAGAAACCTGCTGAGACAAGCGTGCGTCGATGGCATCAAAGGCGCTTATGTCTTCTTGACTCATATCGCCGAATTGTTCATCATAGGTTGGAGATGACATCCTCATCCTTTTCCTGACTGGAGAGGAACCTGAGAAGTTTCGGATGTTAAGCATGGAAGGGAAAGATGCGGAGCTCCCCACCTGGACTGTACATAGTCACTTGATCGTGTCAAGCTGAAGGGTCTGAAGACGTTGAGCGTTGGAGATGGAGTGGGCAAATGGCAATGCGATCTACATAGACGACGCGACGCGTTTCTTGGTCACGTGCACAAGATTGTATAAGCAGAAAACCAACGAGCTAGAAGCTAGACATCGGTCAAAATGTTGGCAATTTGGCAAGAGAACAACGCTGGCACGAAGCTGTTCTGATCTGCAGACATCATCGTGATCGGATTTAAAGAGTTCAGTGTCCTCTTTTCCTAGACCCCTTGACAACCCTGTTTGCAATTGCGTTCCGGTCTTTTCTCGAAGTAGTACAAGTATATGATACTTCTTATGCTCCCTTAGGATGAAGCAGCCTTGCAATAAATGATTTCGTTTCATCGTGATTGACATTGACCTCAGCTCGGGTGACTTTTGATTGCAAAAATACATATGCATACACCTGCTATTACAAAGTTGTGAATGCTTTTAGTAGACACACTGATCAGGCCATTAACCTCGGTGAGCCAAAGTCAATGACTTACACATCTCTTCCGTCTCTGAAAATTTGTTGCTGACTCCCTAGTTCTAGGCAACCTAGCTCAAATCCCTTCCGCGACCACAACGTTCTCAAAACATTACTTTCCTCAAGTTATTCATACCTTGCATCCCTCGCCGACCGCGCAGGTCCACCAGCACGACGTCTGGGGATCAAATACCTATGAACGGGACAAATATACATCCCAGTCAGAATGCAATAGGTTCCCGGGCAGCCAAGCCCCCTCCGACAGGTCTCGCTCCTTCTGCACCGACTACAGCGCCTCCTCTTCTTCCCAATCATGCCAATCCGCCCGGTACGAATCGAACAGCGCCACCCCACTCCAACAACACCGCTGTTAACGGTTCCTATACTCATAATCAGAAAGGCAAGAAGAAAAACGACACACCCGTTGATCCTGCTGCCATGTACGAGTCTCTCAAGAATAGGATCGCAGCGCTGGAGGAAGAGGAGGTGCTTGAGGAAGAGGAGGAGAGGATATTTGGTGCGTATGCAGTGATTCTCAGGTTCATACTCCACTCATGCGTGCATCAGCTGAAGAGGCTGTAAAGTCGGTGAAAGGCATGGAGGAGAATGCGATTCATGCAAAGTACATTGAGCTTGTGCGTTATTATTGGTATACCAGATATATGTGTTTCTTAACCCCGGAATTGCAGTTCGCAGAACTAAAACGATTGGAACGCGACCATGCAAAGGAAAAACAAAAGTTGGTTAAGGACAAGGATTCTGGTACGCGCGATTGGCACACCCTCTGCTCTATAATACTCATATTCCGCAAAGCAAAGACTCAATTGACGAAGGCCAATCAGACCAAAGTTA